CGCCTCAAGCGATGATTCGCTCACGGGTCCGATTCAGGCGTTAGCCGCATATACCCTCTGTGCTACAACAAACGAGAAACGACTTCAGTTGACCCACCTCTACGATTGCATACGAAAAAGCTTTGTACGTGGTTCGGTAGCTCGACGGGGATACTCCCACCCGAGGGATGGTGACAGCTCCCGCAGGTGGAGGTAAGTTGTGCTTCACATGACTCTATCATGTTATAGGGGTTCACGAGTGGTACGGTTGACGCACTCGACCGAAGCGGCAATGCTTTCTGCGAGAAGTCCTGCAAAATCTTGCGTGACGCGGCTGGCAGGGTCCCCCTACGGGACAGATGCGCTCAACACCGCTATTAGCATACCATACGAGACATGACCCAACTCATCGGACCACCCAAAGGTCAATCACTTAAACAACCTCCCCCAAAGGCCATTACGTGAATACTACAACCATTAATTAAACGCCTTGGGTGGTCTGTAGGCAGCATTTGTAATCCTTACAGTGCGTCAACACAAAGAGAGTGTGTAAATGGTCGTGTGTTGGTCAAACTCCGTTGGTGTCCATGCGTAAGGCCGTGAAGTTTTGAACCGGCAACCTCATAGCACAATGCGCATTTCCAACCAATGATCCACCCACTCAGCTACTAGTCATTCACCTCTATGTGTTTTCATCAATGGACAAAAAAGAAAACAAACATTCGTACATATAATTATTTGTACATCCATTCTAAAAAATATTGCTCTCATCAAATATAAACATTTCATTCTCATTGAAGCAAGCGAACACTGGAGAATCAGGATTCCATATACTTAAGGCAAAAAGAAGGAGCCCTTGCCATGTACAATTTCCCTCATACCGAGAAAGCAAATTACCATGCTCTCATGCGTTTGACATGCTCACAAACTTTCACTATTTGTCAACATCGCCCAAATATTTATAGTCTATTGTTGCACACCCACGACCAATCATTGTGATAGTCACTTTGTCAATCTAACCCCTTCACTAATCCTCTCAAGTTCTATAGTTTATTGCAGTAACTTGATGCAATCCGACAAAGTCGCTACCAACCCGTTGAGCCTACCAGATTCACTAATCAGTACTTTGTTAGCCACCGCTCAACCTGAGTTTGAGGATAGTGTAAAGGAAAACAAAAAGAGCGCGCTTGAGGGATTTGTAATTGTAAAAATCAGAAAGCGAGCATGCATGCAAGGGGGAGAAGGAGGGCAGAGAGGTCTGGGAGTCCATGGTGACATTGGGGTAGGAGCTTGCAACTGGTCGAACCGTGGTATGGGGGATTAAACCACTCTCCACATCGGCGTGTCAAAATCGTCCTGAAGTTGGAGTAAGGGTATGGAGGGAGTTACAGAATGTGTCATGACATAAAACCATGATTCAACGAAGGGTTCGAGGGAAGAAGGTGGAAAACACTTGTGATGATCGGAAAAAGCACGAAGAAAAAGAAAGAAGAGTGTTGGAAATATGAAGTGAAAATGCACGAAAAAAAGAATGCTTGCATGAAAATGAAAAGACCAATAAACAAGTACTCGAAGTACGGGGTGAAAAGCAAAGAGACACATAATTCCTATTACAAATTTGAAATCAAAAGGTCTGAAAAAAATTACAGGCATGTTGTCGAGCGAATCGGTCCCGCACGGGGACCCTCTCGGCAGCGTCACGCAGGATTTTGCAGGACTTTTACTCAAATCCAATCGCAGAGGTGGCCTAGCCGAGGGCGTTTCTCATACTACAGGGTATGCACGGTCGAGCCCCCAAAGTGCGGTTCCGCGCCAGTCGAGTAGGGCGTTTGACCACGCGTACCCGCTATGGTACAACCCTCAGCTGGGCCACCTCTGCGATTGCATTTGAGTAGCTTTCGCACGTGGTTCGATAGCTCGACGAGGATAAACCTTTCCAAGGGTGGTGACAACCTCTTGGCAGAGGTAAGTTGTGCCTCGCATGACCCCTATCTTCCCATAGGGGTTCGTGAATGGTGTGCCTGGCGCACTCGGCCGGAGCAATAAAAGCTTCACTGTGACAAAAGTCCTGCACAATCCTGCGTGATGCGGTCGGAGAGTCCCCCTGTGGGACCGATGTGCTCGACAACACTGGCTAAGACGCGCAAGAATCCTGTCATAGCTTCATCAAGAAAAATGAAAAGACATGTTCAAGAAACATTATAAGAAATTGCACCAAGCTTCATAAATAAAAAAAACGAAGAGAAAATTAATATAAAACGTTTCTTAAAAAAATAGATGTACATGGAAAGGTGAAGAAATCTGAGCAATATACAAAGATTGCTCGTCACAAGTCGAACTATCATACTCACAAATTGATTATTTTCTCATATCATAAGAGTTGCATGGAAAAAAATTGCCCATAAACTCTTGTCATTCTTTGGACCAGAAAGTGATAACAATAAGACTGGCCTTTTATACTGACCTCGAAATATGCCTAAATTTCTTCATTTTTGATACCTTTCTATTTCATAATTATGATCTCATGGTGAACGACTTGAAGGTTTTGACGTACGGAAACGGACAACTTCCAGTAAGTGGTCAACTGGTTCAATGAGGAGATAGCGGACTTAAGACGACAGTTAAAAGGAATTTTTAGTACTCAACCATGCAGGGGAAAGAAAGGTGGTCCTTCAAAGCTTGACACATACTTTGGAGCAGTGGGATGAACAGTTGACGAGGAACACCTTAATCCCAAACCTACAATAGATTATATCAGGCAAGAGACCACTTCCAAGCTTATCTAGACAACCAAGCCTAAAGAGAAGACACAGTGGCTCGGTAACCAGGCTTGGAGAATTCACTAACAGACACAAACTAACACTAACAGGCAAAAACTAACAAAGCTTGGTGTGAAGGTACAGTCGCTAAATCATTTTGGTAAGCTCAAAGCAAGAGGAAGGCAACCCCTTATCCCCTTGCTCAAACACCATTGTGACAAAAAACAACATGACATAGCACACCCCTACATGACTCACGGCTTCCAAGCAAAAATTACCAGAACTCGTTCACCTCTTGAACAATAAAATATTGGTCATGAAGTGTTCAGGAGGTAAGATAAAAAAATGGTGATGAACCTAAGCTCGACCCTATCAACAAGTGAAAGGCAGAAGGTGGAAGCCCCCCGTAATCCCCCATGATAAAATCTACAGAGCCCTACTCAGAATATATGAGAAAAAAACACCCCGCTTAGGCTTTTTGCGAGAGGAGTTTTTTTTTTTCCACTGATGAACTTTATCATGACATTCCAAAGAGAGGAAGCACTTCCGAGCTTACTCGACCAAGAGGTGACCATGGTCTTGTAAAAAGACAAGATTATATAGAAGTAAGAAACTACCGCTCAATTACGTTGTTCTCATTCCCATATAAGATGGTGGACAAGGCATTAAAAAATAAGAATTTGCAAGTTATGCAGTGGAACAACTCATTTGCCTTGATCGATTCGGCTTCATACCCAGACACAATCTCCAGGATAATATCTTTACTCAATGAATGTGACTATAAGTTACACAAGATAGAGTGAACCTGAAGCACCTGTTATTTTGTCGACTTTGAAAACGTCTATAACCACATGAACTATGACTTTTTGAAGTTGTGCAAGAACAAAATGAACCTTTGGTCTAATGTTTCTAATTGAGGGACTACCCTAGACCGCTCGACTGCTACCAACATCATGAGAAATGACAAACTCTCTTACCTTTTCACCCTTTGAAGATCAATGAGGCAAGGATACTCAATAGTACTGCTGCTCGTTGTTGTCATAATCGAGACATTGGTGGATGCAATATGAGCTAACCCATGTATAGAAGCAGTTCATATGCCCGAGATCTCATGCCACCTAATCCTAGTAACCTCGCTCTTCACCAATGATCTAACGGTCCTCGTAAAAGCGATGAGGCCTCCTTAAAGGCAATGGCTGAAATAATACATATCTTCTCAATCACGTCACGTATGTCGATGGATTAAGGAACTAAAATGATGGCATGGTGGTTCTACCCCTCTGGTACCGGTCCAGCCAGGAGCAAACATGATGCGAAAAGTCATTTTGGGGCCTGGCACACTTTTTGCCTTGTTTGGCGGCAAATAAATACAAAGGTTCTGTCCCGGGTCGGATTTATAAACCACCAGTACTTCCTAGAGTTGTGCCCGTTACCGCGCCACAATTTTAGGAAACCTACGGGCCACTACAGGAGCGCCCAAATTCATCCGACTAGAAACGTTTCTACTCTATCTTTTCCCGCAGCCTATAGCTGGGCCAAGTACTGGTGGTATACAGTTTTCCCCTTTTACTTTCGTTTTGGCTGGGGCCACCAGCCATTTTGGTCCCTTGGCACTGGCCCTCTGAAGAATGTGGCCCTCTGAAGAATGTGGCGTAGCTTATACTTCCCCACTACTTAGCCTTCCCCTCTGAATTATGTTGTTCTGGTCATCCGATCGTATCTGGATTCGAACTCTCAGCTGTATTTCAACAGTTCGTGGAGCTAGGCTCGTTGGTTAGCCTTCGCCTCCGCAAGGTAGTGGCGGGCTTATAAGACAAGCAAGCTGGCTCTGCTCTTGGTTCGGGCATGTGACCTCCAGCCCTCATCAGAAAGGAGGATGTATCCACCCCCCAAGACAAAAACCTGGCTTGATTTCCGGCCCATGTTGTGCAGCGTATCGACACACACCTACCCATGTTACCTTGTGGTGTGGTGGAGACGAGGTTGCGGATCAAAAGCATTAGATCATTTATCGACGGCGATTGGCGCCTGCGCCGTCGATTGGTTGACTGACTGACAGAAAAGGAAGGGGAGAGAGAGAGAGAGAGAGAGAGAGAGAGAGAGAGTGTCCACTCGTGCGAGTAAGTGACGTGGAGCTGCGTCACTTGGAGCACCACAATGGTGAATGGTGTGCGGTGTGCGAGTGAGAGTAGTGGGAGACAGATTGATATTGCGGTGCCGAGTACCTACGGGTAGGGCATTGGGTCTCGCGTGCTTCGGAAATCGCAAGTTGTGCCGCGCAGAGTCTAATGTCGTTATAATCTGATAATAGTAATGTTGTATGATGTGTCTGGGAAAAAGAAGCGGGACTGCGAAAACAAATGTAGAAATCGAGTACAGTAAAGTGAGTACCGTCCTGCTCCCTTGTCCACGTCTTCCTCTCCTCCTCGTACGCGTTACTTCCTCCCGTGTCTCCTCAGTGTCTTCCTCCTCACGATGTGCGAGCGGACTTGGAACAAAACTTCGCTGCTGTCCCTTTTCCCCGTGCGCACACTTTTCTTCTCCTCCTGTCCCTCCTACTCCTCCCCTTCCCCTTCCTCCTCCTCCTCCTCCTTCTCCCCCTCCTCCTCCTCCTCCTCCTCCTCCTCTTCTCTGCTGTCTTCGACTACACTGGGGAAGGACAAGCTGTGGGAGCTAATGGGCGCGCCCTCGCGCAGCGATGATATGAGTTGGGACAATTTATCGAACTTTCAAACGCAACGCACCCGCTCGAGTTGCACAGGACGAGCAACGAAAACTGCCAACAATCAAAACATTCAGAACATTCAGAGAGCATTCAGAGAGCATTCAGAACATGAAGATCACGGTTACCACTAAGAAGGAGGATAAGCATTATGGTGATGATGATGAGGGGGAAGCGGGAACGAGTCGCGAGCACAAAGGTCGATAAGGTGGGATGAGGAAGAGGGAGAGGAAGAGGCTTACGCTTTTCTTCTCATCAAAAGAGGAGGGAAATCCCTACAGCTACGTCAATAAGCCAGCACACCCCTGCCACTTCGCGGCTTCGGGCGGAGATTGGGACTTGCCAGAGTACGGTTCACATCCCTGCAAGAGCCCCTCAATCATCGACCTGATCGCATTTATTTTTCTTTATATTATACGAAAAAAGACCTTCGATCGAACCTTTTTTTTTTTTTTTTTTCATGCCTTGAGAGATATATCGGCACTCATTTTGCTGCCCCGGTCCACATCTGTCTGCTCCCTTTTGAGTTCTCGTTGTCCTTTCCTCCTCGTGGTATCGTCGACTTCTTACTCCCTGTCCTCTTTGTCCTCCTCGGCTTCACGCTGTGGACACCGCCACCGCCTTGGGAAACATCCTTGCCGTTGTTTTTTTTACCTGTTTTTGTGTGGGCAGATCTTTTTCTTCTTCTTGTAGTTGAGGTTCCTCGACCACTTCTTCTCCTTCTCCCTTTCCTCCTCAAGGAGCACATCGGAAAAGGAGAGGGAGGAGGGAGAGAGAGAGAGAGGTAGACAGGGAGAGAACAACACCCGTGTATGTCCGAAATGCTTGTCAATCAGCACACTGTTTTTGAAAATCACACCTTCAATCTAACGGCCAAGGAATGCCGCGAAGTCAGGATTACTCAGTCCGTAGAGAGCGGTTATTCAATCAGTCGGCCATTCTCCTTCATCAGTCAAAACCTTTGCTTCATCATATTCGGTCCGTCGGCTGGCACGCCACATTGCGCGGAGCCTGGAGGTTGTGTAGCGGCTCCACGTGTCGCTGCTGTATGAATGGCAGCCAAAGTACCATCATACGATGGAATGAATGGTGTAAGACGATGCATGCTGCGACCGGTCGTCGTCGTCAATCAGTGGCCAAGCAAGAAGCGCAAAAAGCAAAGCGAAGAAAGGTAAGAAGCCTGGGTAGGCACAACAAGCCAGACGCGACGTTGCAAGCCTATCAACAGTGCAATCAATCATCAATCGAACGGCTGTTAAATGGCTGTTAAAGGCTGTTAACGTCTGTTAACGGTTGTTAACGGCGTTGCTTGGTAACGGCAGCTAACGGTGGCTAGCGCTCAAGGACGGAAAAGATGCTTCGACTCTTTAAGAGCGACCGGCGACCGGCTGCAACGCGGTCGTTCAAGAAATCGCCGACCGATCGACAATCGTTAACAACAGGTGTTGAGTGTTCCTTGTTTATTGCGGTCTCCTGAGAGGGGGTACTCACACTAGGTACTTGTCCGGATGCATCTGACTGCCATTACGGCCGGCCGTGGGTGCATGTGACCGCAATTACGTCCAGAGCGGGGTAGAAAAGGTCCTCGTGTGAGTGTGTCCTGAGTGCACACTGATCGGTATACCGCGCTCTCGGTGAAATCGACCGGAGAGAAGTCGGTCGGCCGAACAAGTCGCGTACTTGATGCGCTCTCTTCTCGACTTCATCGAGAAAAAAAAACTGCTCGCTCCAGCCGCCAGGTGCACATGTCGCTGCGTTGGGCGGAGCTGTTGTGGAGGATATGCGGCACGACTCTCCTTCTCCCAACAGCTCCTCAAAGATCACGTATGTCGTGGACTACCTTCTTCTCGTCCGTACAGCTACTCGGCCGTTCTACGGGGCTCGCTCTCGGAATGCCACGTGGAAAGGAATGCGCCAGAGTCCAAGATGAAGGTGAAGGGCGGAATAGCACTCACAGAAACATATAGAATAGAAGGGGAATAGGAAGGAAAGGGGGGGGGAGATGGTGTTGTCGATGATGGCGCGAGCCCAACAGTGCTCCTCCCATCGCTGTCTCCTTCGCACAAGCCGACGGTCATGGTACCTGTCTTTCGCTGCTTATCCTCCTCTCTTCCGCCCTCCGTCTACAGCTGGATCCCCTGCTTGCCTGGTCTTCGCACGTACGTAGCGGCTGATATTCGACGAGGTAACTAATTGAGAGAGCAGCGAGGAAGAAAGCCGGAGGTGTTTCGTGGAGAGAGGCAATCAATCAAGTAAGAAGAAGAAGAAGAAGAAGAAGAAGAAGAAGGTGAAAGAAGAAGAAGAAGAAGAAGAAGAAGAAGAAGAAGAAGAAGAAGAAGAAGACCTAATCGCAATGCCACCAGCCTTGCTTTTACAGAACCGAAAGTTCAGCTTGGGAATCGACGACGCGATCTCCCGCGGGTGGTAAATTGGGTAGTGAGATAGAGGTAAGGACAGGGACACGCGTCAAAATTGGAACGACAAAGAGAGGATTAGCGTGGCCCTTGCACAAGGACAAGTTAGCTCGATTGAAGACACGGTCCAAAAAATGTCTGCCCAAGTGGAAGAAAGGGGAGGGAAGGGGAAAGTCTGACATAAACGTGCTTAAGACAAAAGTTCATTCAATTTCACCCCTTCCCCCCCCTACTCTCCCCACCTTTTTGTCTTTTCAGCTGTTTTGTCCAGCAACCACAAAAAAGCACTCACCCAACTCGTTTTGTGATCATTTAAAATTGTGAGAGCGTGGACGGACAGATCGAACAGACAACAGCGAGGAACAGACTTTCGTCTATCCGACACGCTGGATGCCACTTTTATTGTCAATCTCACGCTAGAAAGAGCATGCGTGTGTGTGTGTGTGTGTGTGTGTGTGTGTGTGTGTKWGAGAGAGAGAGAGAGAGAGAGAGAGAGAGAGAGAGAGAGAGAGAGAGAGAGAGAGAGAGAGAGAGGATTGGTTAATCCCCCACTTGAACGTAATACTTTCGTGGTTCATTGAGTTATTGATTGAGTGGATGCGGATTTTTGCCATCGGCTCGCGTTGTGAATTTTTTTGCTTGATGTTCTGCAGTCAGCGGGGAAGATCTTGTCAGGGAGAGATCCAAGAGCCATGTATTTGTTAGGCTGGGGTGAAAGAGAGAGCAGGAGGAGGGAGAGAGAGTGCGAGAGAGAGCGAGAGAGAGTAGTTCGGCTATTTGGAAGGCTGCTGCATAGTTTGGCATGTTTGCCATGGACTCCCCTTGTGGATGGTTGATGTGGATATATCATGGCTGTTGTCATTCTCTCGAGTTCACAAGCCGACGCCACGTGGAGCGTCGATGTTGCCGCAATGATCTGGGACAAGTGCCGCACTGACGGTGGAGGTACACTTGCAAGGCTAGGCGGACAGCTCACAGACCTCATCATTTATGTCTATTACGGCGATGATGACGAGAAGAACGAGGGTAATCATGGCTATGGAGAAAGTCTTGAGACTAACGATGACAAAAGTGATGGGAAGAAGGAAGACGGCGTCCGCAGCGGAAAGGGAGCAGCAGGTTCGTGTAGCGCGATTCAATGTGGAAGAGGGATGTGTTCTGGTCAAAGCCGTAGAAAGGCCGGGGGCGATGACTATTAGAGCAACCCGCTCGAGAGAGAAGAAGATCATTGCCCGATTAAGTCAGGAGAAGAGCTGTAAACAAAAATTGCGCCGTCTTTTTGTCAATCGCATCGTTAGCACCGTATAAAGTAAGGCAGCCTAACTAATTAAGGGGGATAGGGTATATAGAGGAAGTAGACTAGTAGACTAGACGCGGGAGGTGTAGGCGACGGGGGAGAAAGAGTAGAGGGAGGCGAAGTGAATCCAATTCGTCGGGGACCGCAAGCGCGGGAAAACCCATCATCTTGCTGCTGCTGCTGCTAGCAATCCCGTTCCTGTTTCCTGTTTCCTGTTTTGCTACCCTTCGACAAACTGAAGTTCGACAGCGACACCGAGAGTGGACTGTGGGGCGTCGTGACTTGCTTTGGCCATCTGCGAAACCGAAAATCGTCTTTGCATGCATCATTCGTCTCTACCTTACTCCGGAAATAGTGTCTTTGCATGTCCACCACTTTCTTTTCTTTCCCCCCCCCCCCTTTTTTTTTAAACCTGAAGTCTCCTTTTTTTGTTTTAAAACCTGAAGTCTCCTTTTTTTGTTTTAARACCTGAAGTCTCCTTTTTTTGTTTTAAAACCTGAAGTCTCCTTTTTTTGTTTTAAAACCTGAAGTCTCCTTTTTTTGTTTTACAACCTGAAGTCTCCTTTTTTTGTTTTAAAACCTGAAGTCTCCTTTTTTTGTTTTAAAACCTGAAGTCTACCACTTTGCGGAGATACGAACGTTGCCTGCAGCAGCGTATGCAGTGGACGATCCACGTGTTCCTTGGAATCATCGACAAGTGTGAGTTGGCAGTGGGGAAGGGAATAATGCACCACCCGTATCTGGACATCGCTGACGTCGTCTGACTTCCCCGAGTGTTCTGCGCATCGCACGTGTGCAAAACGATGGAAGAGAAGAGTAATGGCGCCGGGAGCACCAATGTCTGCAGCAGGGGGGGGCCGTCGCCTGTGCGACCTGCTGTACCCAGTTCGCCGTTGCCGTCTGGCGCTGCTGCTGCCTCTTCGAAGCGCGCTCGGGCTTTTGTTACACGTGCGCCGGTTGTCCGAATCCAACTGAAGAAAGATGGTCTCCAGCAGATCAACGGCGACAAAACAATCGCGCCTATCCTCGGGCAGCACATTTCGAAGAGACGTTGCGTGCGAGCGGCAGAGGCAGCGGATGCGGCTGCCATTGGGAATGGAGAAAAGGGAGGATGGATGGGTAGAGCAGCGGACGCCTCGAGCTTGCCGATCGAGGGGTCAGGAAAGGATGGAGACGATAATGACTGCTGTCTCAAGTTTCCCGAGCGAGGAGGAGGAGGAGGAGGAGGAGGAGGAGGAGGTGTGCAAGAAGACGTAGGCAGAGGGAAAGGGGCCACTGTGCTTTCCAGGAAACGCACTTCAACAACGTTGGAAGAAGGCGCACATGAATTTACTGAGCTGGAATGTATCGAGGGCACACTGAAGAGGCACTGCCGCGCAATACCGGCAGAGAAGGAAATGCCATTGGCGGCATCCGACGATGGGGACGGCGACGATGAAAGTGGGGGCGATCGTGGACGTGGAGGCAGCGGCGATCAGCCTCGTGGCAATGCGGCGGCGGAGGGGGGGTATCGCTTTCCGCAGGTGAATGGTGGGGCCGCTGATGTTCCGCGATCGGCTGGAGCAATAAAGAGACATTTGCCGCTGCTACTGAATGGAAGTGGACCTGTCGAGAGTGGGAGAGTTCCAGGAAGGCAATCGGGGTTGAGTAGGGCTATGGAGTCCCCGAAGAAGGGGAGTAATACGATGGGAGGGGAGGGGTTCAGTGTTGGTTACAGGAGGATGAAGGTTGTGCGGTCGTCGCCGGAGAGCGGGGGCATGGCAAATGGCGGGAGTCGTGCCCTGGAGAGACGGGACCAGCCTGGCAACGGGAATGGCGGGAAAGCATCTGTATCTGGTCAGCTTGGCAATCAAGGAGGGGACATGATAGAGTCACTTAGGGAGGGAGGAGGAGGAGGAGCAGTAGAAGTAGTGAGAGCCGGCGATGGCGGAGGAGAAGCCGTTGCAGCAGACGGTCATCCCGAGGAACGAGTAGAAAAGCCCGGGGTGGCAGCGGTTGAGAGAGGAGGAGGCTCTGCTGCTGCCGCTTCCCCCCCTCCCCCTATAGTCGCTTATTCATCGAGTACCTCAGAAGAGTGCCCTGGAACAAGTGGTGGTGATGATGATAATCAAGGGCCAAGGGGGGCAATTGAATCAATCGAACGAGGGGGGCAGTGGGAACAGATAGAGAAGCGGAAGTCGTCGGGGAAAGTTCGCGCGCAATGGGCGGAGCAACGGAAGGAGAGGGAGTGCAAGAGCGGGGATGCGCAAGCCGGGCTGCGGCCTGATCAGCGAAAACGGGAGAACAATGCTGGGGGGAGGGCAGCGCAGCAGTGTACGGGGGAGAAGTTTAGCAGCAAAGAAGCGAAAACTAGCGGCGGAAGTGAAAGAGGCGGGGCTCGATTCTGTGATGGGGGACACGGCGCTGGACGGGGAGGTGCGCAGCGGGTTGCGCGGGCGACGATGTTTGCCAGCAAAGGAAGAGGAGAAGGAGAGAGGGTAGTAAACGATGCTGCTGCTGCTGCTGCTGCTGCTGCTGGGGGGGGGGGGGGGGGAGCAGCGACAGAGGGAGGAGAAGGGGGGGGGACGAGACACAGAATGCCAGGACGTGCTGCTGCTGTTCGGATCTATCATGGGGTTACGGCGAGGCCGTGGGGATTCATGGCCGAGCTGAGAGACCCGGATTGTCGTCAGAAGACGATTTCGTTGGGGTGTTTCCAGTGTTCGGAGGAGGCGGCTAGAGCGTACGACAGAGCAGTGAGAAAGAGCGGAAGTAAACTTCCGCTTAACTTCCCAGACGCTCCTGCCACTCCAGCGGTCAAGAAGAAGGTGGTTTTCGTGCTTGCGGGAGAGACCGTGGCGGAATGGAACGGCGAAATGAAGCTCGATGACAATGAGAATGATGGGGGATTGAGGAGAAGAAGGGAGGGGAGAGGCGTAGAGAGAGGAAAGAGGGTGGTGGGCGGGGAAGACTCGTCGGGGGGGGAAAGAGGGTCGTCGGGCGCACAAGACGAACTTGGACGACGAGCAGTTACTGTCGTAGTAGAGAGTTTAAGTGATCCTGAGCGGCAGGATTTGCCAGGTAGAGGCAAAGGACCTCTGCCAGGTAGAGGCAAAGGACTACTCCTAGGTAGATGCAAAGTACCACAACTACTAGGTAGAGGTGGTGGACCACCACCTGCTGCTGCTGCTGCAAACATCGCTCCTGGTGATGCGAGTGGAGGTGGCGTCGGCGGGCGCGTATCATCCCCAGAAAGTAGTGCTCCTGATTCCGCTGCCTTCGCGAAGCGCCGTCCAGCGGGCAAATCGCCGGTCCAGGCGCGGGACAAGAGCGGGTCAACTTGCGTTGTAGTATCCTTGGAAGGCGAACTGAACTCAGATGAAGAAGATGTTCCAGGGCGAGGAGGCTGTGATCCTGGGTCCCGCGAGAGAAGGCATGGAGAGAGGAGACAAGGAGTCTTGAGTTTCACGAAGAGGAAGGAGGGCGAAGCTCGCGCGATAAAGGCTGCCGCTGCTGCGGCCGCCGCCGCCGCGGGAACTTGTAGAACGAACACTGCTGCTGCTGCATCGACATCGGCGGAGAAGGACGATGGAGACGGTGTTGGAAACTCGGAAAACGATATGGTAATGAACTGGGGAGGGCACAGGAGGAAAAGACAAGCCAGGAGCGGGAGGAGGGTATGGATTGCACCTGGTCTACATCGGGACCAGATTGAAGAGGATGGAATGGCGAAGAAGAATGATCTGGAGATACGGCCGGGTGATGCGGGGGGAGAGGGACATGGCAGCGACAAGAGAACTGCGGCGGCGGCGGCGGCGGCGGCGGCGGCAAAGACACCCCCCAGGCTGGGAGAGGTGGAAAGGAGGGGGGCGGTTGGAGTATATTCTGCCGAGGAGGATGCTGCTACTGACGCGAGGAGAGGGGCAGGTAGCGTCGACCGTTGCGGGGCGGACGATAAGACTCTTTCTGCTCCTGACGGCTCGTTGTCTGCTCGCAGATTGGAGGACAGCGGTTGTGAGGACATCGTCGAGAAGGAGGAGAACGTGAAACAGGTCGAACGGCAAGCGAAGAGATCTCCGCCGCCAGCTCGGCCGTCTACGAGATCTGCTCCTGCTGCTGATCACAATGAAGCCGACGACCGTGAGGGAGGAAGAGACGCGAGGGGGCATGAAGGCGAAAACAGGGAGGGTGCTGTTGTGTCCCGGAGAGTGGAGGGGGGGGTACATGGAGCGGGCGGACAGGAGCGCATCAGACTCGAGGAGGCGCTACAGGAGCGCAGAGTGGAGGAGGGGGTACAGCGAGCGGGCGGACAGGAGCGCAGCAGAGTGAAGGAGGGGGTACAGCAAGTGGACGGGCAGGAGCGCGGGGAGCCGTTGCCCTTGGCTTCCGCCGGTAAAGCGCAAACTGCTGGAGGCGGTGGAGAACAACCGTCAGCAGCAGAAGTAGAGGGTCCCAAGAAAGACGAAGTTGAGGTAATCCGAGCGAGTGAACTGGACCGTAGAGATGGAGATGTGGGGATGGAGGAGGGGAGTGGAATGACAGCCCTCCCAAGCGACCGTCCTTGCTCTGCGAACGTTGTAACGAGTGGGCACAAGAAGGCAGGTGAGGTGGCGCTTGTGAAAATGAACAGAGAGTGGCGGCCGTTGGGTAAGGATAAGGATGCCGGAAAAGAGAGTGAAAAGAGTGCTATCCTGACGCCGAACCATTGCCGTAGCATGGGCGGTGGAGCACAATGTGGAGTCGAACGAAGAGAGGGGTTGGTGGGGACGGAGGAGCAGCAGGCGGATGCAAGATCAGCCAGAAAGGTGTCATTGTTGCCTGTTGTTGGGAGTCCCACAAGCTCATCGGAGGCTTCTCAGCAGCAACAGCAGTTCCGAGAGGGGGGAGAAGATCAGGAGAAGGTCGGAGAGGAAGGCCGAATGTGCTCGAAACAGCAGCCCGCGGGCAGAGCCCGATGGCGAAGGTTTCCTCAGGGGGAACAGGTGCTCGATTACGACGGGGCGAAGAGGGCTGGAGGAGAGAAATCCGTGGTACCGCCATCCTCTGCAATAAGAAAGGCAGCGCTTCTCGGGGATTTGCAGCAATCTGATGCGCCCCTGAGACGGGATGCGGTTTTGCCGATTTCGGTGGCCGGCTCTCCAGCCGTCGTCAGCGGGCGGCCACAGTCAACGGGGTCAGACGTGGAGCCTTCCGGAGGAGAGGTGGTGATCGGCCAGTCGGTCAACGGCAACAAGCATGAGCAGAAACAACTGGACAAGGACGAACCGAAGGCGGAGCATCAAGTGAAATCGATTGCGGAGAAGGAGCAGAAGGGGAATTTGGGAGCAGAGAAAAACGTACACACGGACAGCAGCAGCAAAGTGAACGAGGAGGAGCAAGAAGTTAAACCTTTTGTGCACCGGCTACCGCCCAGCAGCAACGGGCGTTCATCAGTGGAAATGGCAGCGACCGTCCCGGCAGTGAATGCCATCATCGTTAAGCAGGAGCCTATTGAGATTCCAGAGCCGACAACGACCATGACAACGATGACGCCCACCACAACGGCCACAACCAGTGTTTGTTCGCCTGTAAAGCAGTCTGTCAAAGTCGAAGTTGTGGAAGCAGAACAGCACCTGTCTTCATTCCGTCCTCAGGAGCGGGTAGATTTACAGCCGGCAGAAATTTTGGGCAAATGGGTATCTTCAAATGGCACGGTGTTGTCTTCCTCGGAGCGGTCGATTGAAGGAGTAGGGGAGGGAGGGGTGGGTGTTTCAACGCCGGTCCTTCAACGAGCAGCTAGTGAAGGAGTGCAGCTAAGCCCTCCTCCTCCTCCTCCTCCTCCTCCTCCTCCTGGGGAGAAGGCCGTTCATGGCCGGCACATACTGGCTGATGAATCACCCTCCCGAGTTCGATGCCCAATCCAAGTGGTACGGACTCAATTACAAAGTGGAGGTGGCAGTGGGGGCGGAAGTGGCGGCGCCGTTCTACACGATGTGGCACCATCATCCGGCCTGTCAAAGCAGGTATGTAGTTTTCCCGAAGAGCCTGAAGATCGAAAGCCGGTTCTGCATGCCACGAGGTTGGGAAAGGAGGTGGGGGCGTCACTAGATCAATATGCTGAGCGCCACCATCAAGTCATTGCCGGGCAAAGAAGGCCATCCCGGAGGGATACTACTAATATTGCACCTGCGACCAGCGCCACTGGTGGCAGTAAAGTGCCAGTGCCCTGGCGTCAGCAGGAGCCTTTAGAGCCGGGCTTGGCATCAAAAGACCACCTTGAAGACAAGAAGGTGGTTGTGTTGGGCCTGAAACTGGATATGGACACGGAATTAGCATTCTCTGGTGGTCGCAAGAGCTCTCCAAGTAAGGCACAGGCAATTGTAACATCATGGCCAGGACCATCCATGCGCGGTGAGACCAGCCTATTGCCACCTGCAAGAAAGATGGCAGCAGCGGTGGCAGCTAAGAGCCAAAAAGATGTGGCGATGAAGATGATGCTGAAATCCACGGATGTTGAACAATCACGTGAAGCAAGCGTGCAATCGTCCCCATTGGATGTAGCTCTTGGCAGCAGTGGCACAGACTCTGAAAAGCAGATGTCGGCATCAATGGTACATTTGGCAAGACAGCGACAAGCGGCTGTCGTTATCCCGAACTCAATGATGGCCCCACTCCAAAGAAGGTCAGGAATGTCATGGACTCAACAGCCATCCCAGAAGATTAATCCTTCTGCTCCTGCCGATGCATTGCAAAAGAGACAGGTAGCTGCTTCACCTGAATTGGCATCGCAGGGGGCTGCCGGAGTGATGATGTTGAATCACCAGGCTCAAGCTATGGTCGAAGCAATGGCAAGAGAGAAAGAACTGTCAGGGACTGGTACAAAAACCCGGGACGCTGGCCAGAAGTGTCATCAGCACAGACTGCTGCCATCTGTGGTCACATGTCAGGCGGGGACACCTCCTCCTCCACCTCCTCCTCCACCTCCTCCATCACCGACTCCTCCCCCCCCATTTCCTCCTACGCAGCGTCAACAGGAAAAACTGCCTGCTGCACTGATTTCATCCATTGCCACAGAGAAAACTGCGATGCCCGAGTCGATTGAGGTTGCCTCTTCTGCCAGTCATTGGCCTGGTAAGGCGAATGAACCAACTGGGATCATCTGTGGGTTGTCAGCTTCCACCAACAGCAATCCGGTTATGGGAGCAACATTGCAAAGAGCTAGCCCTCGTGCTAACCACCATCAGCAGCCGCCCTTCTCTCCCCAAAGGTTGGCAAAAGGAGCTATAGCTAGGGTTTTGCAATCTGCTCACACCCAGGTCGATGCCTTGACATTTGCCAGCAGTGTTGATAACGGCCTATTAAGCAACAGCAGCAGCCGACCAATGGCTACTGGCATTACGGCTGCTCCAGAAGTGACTTCGGCACGCCACATGTCTTCTCCCCAGATATCTGCCAGTCGGCGGGATCAATCAGAAAGAGGGACAACAACGGCACACAAAATTGGGGCTATTGGTGGCACTATTGGAGTTCGCACTGCCCCTGCTCTTGGTGCTGTTCCTATACCTGGCCCTGGTGTCAGTCATTGCCCCACGAGTGAGGTTGCCATGGGTGTGCCTGCCAAATCTGTGTGGGCCGGCGAAGGAGCACCCTTGATGGTAAGCAGTGGCAGCAATCCGACAATCCCCAGGGAGCGGCAGATTTTGGACCTGATAAATGCAGCGGCAGTGGAGAGGATAGGAGCTAGGCAACGCCATTATCAGCAGCAACAGCAGCAACAGCAGCAACAGCAGCAACAGCAGCAACAGCAACAACAGCAGCGACAACAGCGACAGCAACAACAGCAGCAGCAACAGCAGCGGCTGTTGCCGATTTCACAACTCCAGTCGCATACTCAGCAGCAGGAAGCATTTGCCCAGGGTGTTCTTATCAGCAACAGTGCTGATCGTCCGATTTTGCAGCCTTCTGTTGTACAGATGGTGCCGGGAGAGGACCATCAAATAGTGAGTAGAACGAATGCTGGCACGGCATCGGGAATGTTTGTTGTTGCGGGCATTCCGAATGGGAATTGTCTTCCTCCACCAGGCACATCAGGAGCAGCAGCTGCTACGACTGCAGTGGGCATGGTAATGGGCCTGTCAGTTTGTGGAGTCGGGCAACAACAGCAGAGGCAGAGCCAGCAGCAGATGACAGAGGGGCATCAGATGGCTATCCACAACATGCAGGGAGGTGTACCTCGGTGGACTACATCAACGCAGAGAGTGCAGGCCTCTTTCCAAGAGATAGCTGTGCTGCAAGTCCAGAGAGGCATATCGGCAGAAGCAGCAGCTGCAGCAGTCTGTTTCCGAGAGCAAGAGCGCGTGCATGCCAGCCTGTCCACAATACCCCAAACGCAAATCCTCCTTGCGTCCTCTTTATGTGCCACCTCTTCGCAAATGACCGCCATCACCCCAGCAAATGCAACGACAGCAACTTTCACGCAACTCCAAATGGAAACAGCGACCGCTGTCAACCAGAGCGCCACCACACTAGGCGGCACTAGTAATGGCGTATCCTCAGCTGTGGAGCAGTTGATGGCGCGAACTGTCGGGCATGGGGAGATGATGAGGCAGAGGATGCAGCAGCTGCAGCAGCTGCAACAGATGCAGCAGCAGCTGCAGCAGCAGCAGCAGATGCAGCAACAGATGCAGCAGTTGCACCAGCAGCAGCACCAACAACAGCAGTTGCAGCAACGGCAGGCCGCTCAGGCACGACCACGCAACCGGGCCGTATGCGTAACTAACCATCAAACCCCTGGCGTTCCCTCCACTGCCACAGCCAGCTTGCCGTCTAGTGTAACAAGAGTAGGCGGGACTGGTAGCAAGAGCTTCCGACCGTCGATGGCAGCATCATCAGCGGCAGCTAGGAACTACGGCCATATTGAAATGCACCAACAACAGCAGCAGATGGCATTGATGAGTGCTAGTAATAGCCAGTTGATACCGGGATCAAGCATTCCTGCAGCTGAAGCTGCACCTGTTTTTGTTACTTGCACAGGGGGAGCTGGGGCTGTGATGAGAGCGGCAACAACACGAGCTTTGCCATCGAGACCAACAGACACACCTACGGTTGCAGGAGAGTTGCACACAGCCCGAGAGATCCAGACTGCACCGAATCTGGCTTGTGCTGACTGCGGCAGCATTCTCGATCAACAAAATATCATCACCCCTGCCGCAGCAAGAATGTCGACTGGTTACTCTTCTGATATGCTGCAGATTGCAGCAGCTGCGTCATTGTCATCTCCGTCTCTATCGCCGTCGCTGTCATTGTCACTACCTTCATCGTTGTTAGCACAATCCCCGCCACCACCTCCTCCATCACCTTCCCCACCTCTGGCTGTGGCATCACATGCACAGTTAAGTCCTGTGAAGCCCGTTCAATCCCAGCCAAGAGCAGTCATGCTTCCGTGTCAGATGCTATCCCGGAAGGGCTTTGAGAACGGTGCAGGGGTCAGGGGTGTTTTTAACGCCAGGCGGGCCGAGAAGCTTGATCGTCTGAAAGTGTTCTCCAAAATGCACGGGCTCCATGCTCGCGCTTCTTCACAGGCTGGAATAGGAATGCTTACAGCTATGGATGGGTGCAGCGAAGAAGATGACGATGATCCAGACTGCCAAATTGTCGGGATTTTGCTGCAGACCACCGGCTATGAACATCGCCTTGGTGCCTTGGCAGTTCCTGTGCACATGCCGCGCGCCAGAAGATCAGCACCACCCTCTGTGCTGAGATTGCCATCTGTTGCCATGTCAAAGACATCGGCGTCTGTGGCCACTCCTCTGTCTGATTCGACAGTGCAAGGCGTGAGGAATGCAGCATGCCCACTTTCCGACGGCAGCGATGTTAGGTTGGAGGAGAATGCGGGGACAAGGGTGAAGGGCATCACTGATGGAGTTGCCCTAGGAAAGCGAGGCCGGATATTATCATCCGCAGTCTCAAATTCTACCATCGGTGCGAGCTCACTGGGAGAGGGAACAGGTGTGCAAAAGAGTGGAGATTGTGATGAGATTGCACATGTTCCCTCAGAAAGTGAGGAAAGCATTCCTCATCCGCCATCACCAGCAGGAGGAGGAGAAGGGGGAGGAAGAGAAGAGATAGATGGACGAGGAGGAGATGGTTTGAGAGTAGAAAGAGGAACAGCCGTAGTAGGAGGGAAAGGTGAAGATGCTTCAGATCCAGATTCTGCGGCGACAAAATCACTGTTCTCGAGAGACATTGCCGGAGGACATACCACCATGGACCCGTGTGCTGACGTGGAAGCTACAGAGCCTGTAGATAGGGAGCACGTCATGGAGGTTCGACGCGATGAGACCACTACCCTCATGGAAGCAGAGCTTCCATACTTAAAAGCCACTGCTGAGGGAGTGATTGTTTCGAGGTTGCAGTCGGAGACAGCAGTTTTGCATGCCCTGCCATCTGAGAAGCAGGCGGGCTTAGCGCCTCCATGTTTCATTGCTGATAGGGCGTTGCCACTTGTGCAGAGGCAAACGGTCACAGACTCTTCTTCAAGGGGGTCGGAGGCCAGTGTGCCACAATGTGGTGTGGACGGGGAAGCAGTTTCACTACCCACCTCTGATGATGTGGAAGGTGTTGATGCTGCTGCTGCTGCTTTTGAGGCACAGGCTGCTTCTGAGGCCCTCTCTATTGGTGAGTTCAAGGAGATAATGGACTATGAAGATGAGCCTGACACCGCTGGGAACTTGCAGCTCAATTGCGACGGAAGAAGTCTTGTCATCCCGGAAGCATTGCTGACTGATACTAAAGACTCGAGGACAGGGAGAGGGCTCGACGAGGAGATGGGAAGACTAGCAGACCGGGAGAAGGATAGGAAGCCAGTAAGTAGTGACCTGCACTTATCTGTGGGCATGGGAAGCCCGGCTGGGGCTCAGGCGGGTAGCACACCTCCCAATGCTTTAGGATTGGAATTGGATCTCGAATTAGAGCTGGGACTAGGGTTAGGGTTGGGGTTTGGGTCAGGATTGGACAATGACCAGTGCTCCCCCCACAAAGGTCAAGACATGGGGGCTACATTTTTTTGCAATGGGGAGGGCGAGCAAAGCGAGAGGCTTAGTCCGGATAAAGCAGCTGGCAATAGGACATGCGACATGGCTGCATGGGCGATCGACGAGGTTGAAGCACGAGTGGATGTGGAAAATCGACATGAAAGGGACAATGATACAGACATCACGATGGGCAGCAGCCATAATTCTCCAGTTCTCCCTCCTATTACAGTGGAATCGCATTCTTCTGCATCCAAAGATGCGGAGGCTCGTCATACAGAGGGGTTAAAAGACAGTGACAGATGCAGTGATGAAAATGAGAAATCAAACAATGGCGTGACGAATGTCGCAATCAACCATGACAACAAGCGAGCTACGTCAAATGCACATGGTGACAACAAGCTGGATGATGATGTGTCTGAACCTGAAGGTGGCAAGCCTGCCCATGAGATTTCTGAGACAAATGAGCCTTATGCAAATGGTGTAGTGCAGAGGGGTGATGGGACTGGCGTTATTCATGCGAGCGAAAGCAACGGAGGAGCAGCAGAAGGCTGCACAATGACCAATGGATTTCTCGCAGATGCACAGAAGGGTCGCAAGGAGGTGCGCCCTTCCCTTAGCGAAGGACATGATCGCCTGCTTGTGATGGTTGTCTCTTCACAACCAGACGATGAAGCCAGGAGGGAAGCGAAAGGACCTGCTGACGGCGAATGTATCCAATCTGATGAAGTCCACAATTCCCCACACAGTAGAGTGATTCATAAGTTAGACAGTATCAAGTTGGCGATCGGTATGCCAAATGGTTGTAATCCACCAGAGCAGAAGCAACTGGGGCGTTGTGAGGATGACGTGCGACATTCTGATGGACATATGACAGAACCATTGACCAAATCTAGTGGAGAGGACAGATGCACTGCTAGTGAGGTGGCAGTGGATCAGCATGTAGGGACACCTGGCTGGACAGGAAGGAGCACCTCGTTTGATGGCAGTGGCGATGGCGAGCCTGCACAAGCAGCAGAGATTGCGTCAAAGATGAGGATGATGAAGGTGGACTCGTGCTGTGCAGCAGCGCACATTGATGACCAACAGAAGGATCCACTCATTATGGATGGTGTCACTATTGAGGTTCTTGAAGATGGCAACAGAACAAGTACAGGAGAGGCATTGCAATCGCCAGTCACGAGCCAAACATGCGCCAACATAGCCACTTCTATTGACGGGAAGGAAACGGAGGAAGAGAAGGCAAAGGAGGAAACAATGGAAGAGGAGGAGAAGATGAGTGGGGAGGGGGAAAAGGTGGAGGTGAAAGAGAAGGCCAGTGAGGACGCTGAAGAGAAGACGGTGGACAAAGACAAGGAGGATGTGAATATGGAAGAGAGGAGGAGGAAAATCGTCAGAAACAAGGGAGCATTATTAGAGAACTGCAGTGAAGGGGTAGCTCTGGAGCAAGACCAAGAACTGGACGAGAAAGGAGACACGATAGAAACACAAGATTTGCTGTTGTCTACAGGCATAGAGTGCACCCATGAGCAAAAACAGGTCATGGAGAGCATAGAAGCTACTGACATGAGACAAGCAATGGATGAGGATGGGGATGGGGATGGGGATGGTCGGGGCCAAGAAATGGGTAGCATATCGAAATGGAAGATGGAAAGTGGAGGGACAGAGGATGTTGTTTGGGCAGGCAGCTGGGTCAGCAACCAGACGACCACAACTCGCGGTCGAGGTGGTTGGCTGCTAGAAGAGCTGGAGGAAGAGGATGATGACGTAAATGCCCCTGGCAGTGTCTTAAGACGATGGGCGGATGGTTTGCTCGATGATAGGTTGCCAGAGAAGCCTTGTCGAGCCATGTCTCTTACACCTGCCGAGGCAATGGACAAGGAGGAAATAGGTGTCCACTCTACCACAATTGCCGATACCACGAGCCTCGCTGCGGTTAGTGGTGAAGAAGTTGTTCAGAGGACCATTGAGGTAGTGAGGGAAGCAGATGCAGGGGCAATGGAATTGGATACAAGGGTCGTTGAGGTAGCAAGCGAAGCCGATGCAGGAACAACAGAAGTGGATTCAAGGGGTGCAAAGGCCGGAGGAGTGAGGGGAAGTGTAGAATGGGAAGAAGGGGCTGGCAAACAAGGATCACCATCCAAAGCAGCGGGAAGGGAAGAAGGAGAAGTTGAGGGAGGAAGCGTAGAGGGAATTCAAACTAGCACAACAGGAGGTCCTCCTGCCCTCTGTCACAAAGAGTCATTGGGAAGTCAAATCAGTGGGAAGAACGACGAGGAGACAGTGACTCTACCCAAGAGTGTGCTAACAGTTGATACCGTTCATACTGCTACGGTTCAGGACAAGAGGGAGAAACCGGATGCCGCGGAAGCAACTAGCAGTGGGATGAATCCCAATGCGAGTGGGTGTACAGGAGAGTCTATCGTTGTGGAGGGGAGAGGCGTTGAGAAGGAGAATAGAGGAGATGGATCTAGACAAGAGCACGAAGAAGGATTGAAGGAAGCCATAGGAGTCGTGAGTTCTGGGGAGGGAAGACAGGAGACCCGCAGCCAAACGGGGAGCAGGGAGGGGCGTGAGAGGGAGACTACCTGTCTTTTCTTAAGAGCGAGTAAGGAAGATCTCCGGGCCGTGACCACGTGCAAGAACGATCCGCTGGAGGTTCTTTTCCAAGCCTACGTGGACACGTTCACCCGCGATGGGATCAGTCCCTTCGATAACTGTCCAATAGAGGGAGCAATTCGAGTTGACGACTTGTTTTTCATGCACAAAGGTAGGGTCCTAGAGCCGGACACGTCCGCTGCCAAGCTACAGCTAGAAAGTGGTGACATAATTGAGGTTTTTTTGAACTGAGAATCTTGCACGAGGAGATTCATTGCCTACATCTGATGGATGGATTTCAAATCTTAGATTGCTAATCCCATTCTTCCCCCAGGATTGTCATTCTTTTTTTCCTTTGTTCTTTGTTGAGACTCTCGAGTCAGCCACCCTTTTCTCCCCCCGTCATCTGCATTCTTTGCTGGAGAGCTCGTTGTGTAGTCGACGTAGCATGTGCACACCATAGTTGACTTGCAGTGAGCTCACGAAACCTGTGCATGCGAGTAAAGCTCGTCCGTGCCGTGTGTTTGTGATGTTGCAGCATGGGTTATGTGTGTATATGTAGTCTCCCCCGACTGGATGAAGAGTTTGAGGGTAGCATGCCTTAAATCTGGTCTCTCTCATCTTCCCATGACATGACTTGCATGCTGGCAGGCACATGTCAAAACCATTGTGTCTGTCTCTTATACACATCTAGATGTGTATAAGAGACAGACGTAGCATGTGCACACCATAGTTGACTTGCAGTGAGCTCACGAAACCTGTGCATGCGAGTAAAGCTCGTCCGTGCCGTGTGTTTGTGATGTTGCAGCATGGGTTATGTGTGTATATGTCTGTCTCTTATACACATCTAGATGTGTATAAGAGACAGGATTCCAGATGCTCGATGCTAGTATGAAGACCACATACCTGTGCATGCGAGTAAAGCTCGTCCGTGCCGTGTGTTTGTGATGTTGCAGCATGGGTTATGTGTGTATATGTAGTCTCCCCCGACTGGATGAAGAGTTTGAGGGTAGCATGCCTTAAATCTGGTCTCTCTCATCTTCCCATGACATGACTTGCATGCTGGCAGGCACATGTCAAAACCATTGTGTTGTTTCCTAATTTGGCATTCATTCAATTCTACGTAGAGTAGGTAGCTAGGTATTATGCCGCCAGGGAATTAGACAAGCAATTGCCTGACGGCAAGTTTAACTTGGTCTCATCTCGATCGGGTGGCGGTGTGGGATTCTGTTCGGTAGTTCGCCGATACTGAATGCAAAAGACATCCCACTGCTCCTTTTACCCCTCCCCCGCTTTCCCCTCCCCTCAGCCAGGGCTGACGGAGGGTGCAAGATGCAATAAAGTCTCGACAGAACGAGAAGTACAGAGGATGAGGATGAGGATGAGGAGAYGGGTRAGAAGGGATGGTGTTGATGACCCCTTCTCTGCTCGTCATGGTGACATGGCTTCCTTCTGCGGTGGGTTGTTTGGTTGGTCAGTCGGGGCCATCATTGCAGGTCCGGCAAATGCAGTCCAGACCCGACGCAGATAGGGCTCTTCCAAGTTCATTTTATTTTTACGTTTATTTATTCTTGCTGAAAGCAGGATTCTGAATTGAGGTCATCGGTCTCACTTTCTCTTGGTGTCTGTTCTTCTTCTTCTCCTTATTATTATTATTATTTTTATTTTTATTATTATTATTATTATTATATATTTATTATTATTTTATATATTATTATTATTATTATTATTATTATTATTATTTTATATTATATTATTATTATTATTATTATTATTATATTATTATTATTATTATTATTATTATTATTATAATATTATTATTATTATTATTATTATTATTATTATTATTATTATTATTATTATTATTGTATTCCTCTTCTTCTTCTTCTTCGTTTTTTTTTTTTTTTCAGCTTATCTGGTAATGATGCAACTTTGATTGGCATGCTTTCAGATGCTTTGCTCAGATCCCACCCAAACTGCCTTTCCGGGCGCGCCACTTCAATGATAGCTCACAGGGCAACGGCTCTTCACTTGGAAAAACAATAGATGCTATGTTCAACACTGCAGTAGGGGGGAAGGGGGGGGGGTGGTGCAATTCTGCCAATCCACGGGGGTAAATCTTAAACTGGCAGTACGCAGCCCCTCTAAATATTGGGTCAAAAGTTCCAGTGCAACGGTTGCCCGTTCACCCGTCCAGTCTACAAAAGTGCCCACCAAACCGTGCAAGATGTCGTACATCACACGGCTTTCCAACTTGAGGAATGAATAACCTCATGCATGATGGATGACTCCAATCAGGAAGTCGCCTGATATCATACAGTTAAGACTCTGGCGAGTCTCTTCAAGTGTATCCAACCACTCTGGCCAGACCTTTCTGCTGAAAACATTCCGTCGCCTACTCCGAAAGTTTTGCGCCTCAGGTCTACAATGGCTGGTGGCGCCTGCCAAAGAAGGAAATAAAGTGCACTGCTGGCAGCTTGGCAAAAGCTTGGTGCGCAGTGGAGCCTGGGTGTACTGGTGGTTTTTTAAGTCGCTTTCCGCTTCCTGTTATATGAAAGCGTCCCGATTCCAGATGCTCGATGCTAGTATGAAGACCACATACCTG